ACAATATATTTAATGTCTAATGCTGTGGGGTGGTGTGAGGATGCGTAGTCCAACGCTGATCTACAAATCAGGACTAAACTTACCTTCTTATGACAGGAACAAATCTAGATTAAACACTAAACTGAATCTCTTTTAATCTCAGGCTGCAGTCTGAGCATGTGCATCAGATTTCACTCCACGGAGAGTTTCACTGCACTGCTGGCTGGTATAAAAAGCTCACATAATCTGCCTGGTCAAAAGAAAAAAAATTACATTTCACTGCACTACTTTTAAGCTTTTTTAATATTGATTTCCATGCAGAGTTGTGTTATTTTTTTACTAAGCCCCTAAAATCTACTTCAGCACATCCAGAAGATTCTCAATAGAAGTTAAGGTCTGGGCTCTTTGGTGGCCAATCCATGTATAAAAATGATGCCTCATGCTCTGTAAATCACTCTCACAACCTAAGACCAAAGAATCCTGGCATTGTCATCTGGAAATATATTAATTCATGACCCACACCTTATATATTTTTTACTTTTAAGATGTTTCAGAAAGTGTGTGGGTAAAATGGTTTGCTAACCTTTAAGGTAAAACAACTAAATAAATCAACAATGTTTGCTCCCTAAATATTCCTGAATGCAGCTTTATTTGCAATCAAATAAAGCACGATGGCCTCGATCCAATCAAACGCTGCTTAAGAGAAACTCGGTTCTGACGGGGGGCGACAAGGTGTTATGCTACACAGTTTGGGGTCTGTGTGCGAGTGAGACTAATTATCGTAGCTAATTAAAGTCCCACTTCTTGCTGGTCTCCAAGGGAGCGAGGGGGGAGGACTGGGGTGGGGGTGGTAGGTGGAGGTGGGGAGGGGGGTACTAGCCTGAATGAGTGACATTCAGAAAGGAGGGGAAAGGAAAGTGAGTCCGTGTGTGTGTATGTGTGCATGAGCAAGGGATGAACATTTCAAGGGTTACAAGGTGGGTGGCAAATGCTGTAGGGTTTATGTGTACTGTAGGATAAAGCAGGTGCCTGGCGGCATACACATAAAGAGTAAACCACTGCCTCGCTGCTGTCAAAACAGATTACAAATTCAGAAAGATATACAAGAACATTTCTTTATATCCTGTTATGGAAGTATAGTTCAGCTGCCTTTACCTGGCCACTAAAATAAATAAAGTGCATTTTGTTTTATTAGTTTAAAAGCATCACACACGCAGTGAGATGCCAGTATGCAATAAATGAGACAGAAGCCTCTGATAGAAAATGCCCAGTAGAAAGACAACATTTAATCCAAAATGAAGAAAGAAAAAAAATCACTGTTTAATTTAAAAGCACCATCACGACAGAGCTACATCTAGTATCTCATCATTCTTTTCTCTGACACCATCAAAATGGTAATTTAGTGAATGAAAGTCAGATTTATATATAGCAGATGTCTCTGTATGTCTCAGATATGCTGTCACCCTCATTACATAAATTATAGTATGCGTGGGAATCAGAAAATCTCACAAGATGATACTCTTACAGTTTGAGTGGTATCGCGATATAAAATGATTCTGGGATGAGACAAGATATTCATCACAAATTCTGTGTAACTGAGTAAAGAAAACCACTAAAAAGGCAGAAGGCAGTAATTATGTATACTTTTAATTCACTTGTAATCCGCATGAGTATGTATGTTATCGTTATTATCTGATAATAATTCAATATGCCAGCTTAACAAATTAGTTCTTGGATTTGCAGTCTTGTGTGTTCCTTCTATTTCACTGCAAATACTGTTTCGATCCCCTTTATCAATTTTATTTGATAAGCACCAACAAAAAGAGTCAGGAAGTGCCTGCATGGATATTTATAGGATATCTATACTGCTTTATATATATGACCATCGTGATGAAAGTAAGTAATGTGTTTGCCTTTTCATACAATTTCTATCGTACTGTAAGTTTCTGAAAAGCAGAATCTTAAATGCATTTGAAACAGCAAAACCACATTTACGTTTGTTGGAAGCATAAATCGTTTCTTGAGATAAAGATTTAAAAAAATCTCTTATATTTTAGACTTGTGAGTGGGTACATTTGCATTAAAGTGAACAAATTACAGAGCACTGTGGGTTATGACCTTTCTGCTGTGAGTGATATAAGTGCCTCTTAGCCACCTGCTGTAACTGCTGACATTAGCAGTTGACATCTATATGAATGTTTTCCTGAAAAACAAAACAATTCACCCACAAAGACGACAATGTATATCCAGTCCATCTTATGAGCTAATCTTGGACCCAGTGCTAAAATTAATGACCGTAAGGACCAGGCCATATCAGGGTTGATTTACCTGTTGATGGAGCATAGTGTGATTAAAAATAACAAGATTACTGTGGTTTAACTGACATATTGATTGAGATATATGGTGTCAGGCAAGAACAGTGCTTACTTTAATGGAAAATATTAACAAGAGTTACTGAACTTGATGATGATGATTCCTGACTTACAAATCAAACAATGACAGTAAAGTGTGTAAACAGCTCACTGGTCGGGGATGTTTTACCCAAGGACATCAAAGAAACAAAGTTTCATGATTACCTGAACCCTCACCATCCTCGTTAACTCGAACAAACCTCAGAAAATAAAAGTTAGCCTTTTCCATCAGTTACACAGTCGATGTTAAAGAGTAAAAGCACTTTAAACAAACTAAGTCAAACTCCGAGTGGAGACTTGGGCTGAAATTGGCCATTTACTGTGCCAAACTGGTGTGATTTTCTACAACAGCAGACTATTCAGTTCTGCTTTTAATGTTGCTGAATGGACTAACACCCACATCACAACTGTCAGTTTCAAGCATCTCTCTCACTCTTCTCTCAGCCTATTGTCTGTCCACCCCCCCACTCCATTTCCTCTTCCGCCATTGGTTAAAAAGCAAACTGTGTGTATGTGTGTCGATGAGTCAGCATGAGTGGTGGGTGTGAGATATAAAACGGCATGGGTGGCTGTGGGGGAAGGGGGAGGGGGGGTGAAAAAGAAAGTAAAGTGGAGGACGGAAGCAAAAGAGAAAGAAAGAGAAAAGCAAGAAAGTAGGTAGGACGCGCACACGCACGAGGTAGACAAGGTCATGCTTATATTCTTGTTTTCATATTTCTCAGTGTTTAAAGGAAAAGCATGTGAGGAACATGAATGAGCAACATAACAGTGTAAAGGTGGACCCTGAACTTCCACACCAGCTAAGCTATTTGAATCATTGAAAGAAACATACCTGAGGTTTGACCGATTAGAGTTCTACACACAGTTACAAACACCAGCAACCTATCATGTGAGAGATACAATGCAGTTTTTTGTTCTTTGTAGCAAAGGCTGTCATTATCTTGGGGTTTAGATTTTTCTGTGCCAGAAAAAAATTACTGCTTTTGAGGCTATTTTAGCACCACACGCTGCACTTCAAGTGAAATTATTTATTTTCTTTTTGAGAACAAAAAATCGAACGATGTATTCATCAAAACACTTGTGCCGAGAGCTTCTTGCTGTGACACGTTTTACGCTTTGCAGCCCATTTGTAGGTTTACAACAAACACCACTTTTTTCTGGCTTCATGTTTTTTCCTGTTTTCCTTATAAGACTCGATGGTGCATTTTGAGAGGTTACTCACACAGACGGCTTTTGATTTAATTTAAGAAAATGTTTTGAAAGACATTAAGATTTATACTTTTATGTTAAAATAATGTAAAAATGAAATGTAAAAAAAACCGACCTAGATTTTGTTTGTATAGACCTGAATAGGTTAAAGATGACTTCGAATGAGTCCCAAATTAAGCCACTTCTCTATTCTGTGCCGACTGATCACCTTTAAAAGGCAAATGAAATGTTTTTCTAAACTTTGACGTCAAACAGCTTCTGACTGCATCATGTCATGTTTGATGGCTGTGTTGTCAGCTGGAGTTTAATGTATGGCTGCAACTAACAGCTGTAACTAAACAGAGACAGAACTCCAATACAAACGACATCACAGTTTAACCGTCCTGTGGCAAGTGTCTAAACCCATAGCTGGTTTATGTCCACCTGCTCTCTGTATGCTTTAGTACTGATTTAAGATTTTGCTGAGCACGTCTGGGTCCGACTATAAGCCACTTAGCAGAAAAATCAGCTCCATAATAACAAGTTCACAGAAGAAAGAAACAAAAGAAAACAAAAGAATGTTTTGCTTTTTCATCCAAAAACTTGGTAAACTGTGTTTTTAAGGATGTTATATCAATACAACAACAGTTATTGTTATTGCTCAGATATTTTGTAGTTATATAAACACATATCTTGTGTTATACATGTGTTTGCAACTTCGACCCTAACCACAGGTTACAAAAATACAAGTATCTTAGTCACCACAATTTACTGTGATTTGGTACTGAAAACCTATGTCCTGTGTCAGCGTGAAAGTACTCTGATGTAAAGGAAGAGGCAAAGAACAGAGGAGAAATATAACAAACAAAGGGGGGATAAAGATGAAAAGAACAAAGAAAGTGGGGGTGGTAGTAGTATAGCAATGAAAACAGGAAGTAGAAGGAATACCACTAACAGAATAGAAAAGGCAAGAAGATACAAAAGAAGACAGTAAAATACAGAGAAAGAACAGAAGTGAACAGCAACACATGCAGACAAAGGATGTAAGGGGCAGAAAACAGGAGACAAGATAAGACAACACAGAGCAAGTAGTAAGAGGAGAGGACAGTGAGACGAAGAGGGGAAGGAAGAGTAGAGCAGAGTCACAAAAGAAGAGGAAGAACATGTACAATCAAAGAAAAAAAAACAGACGAGAAGACAACAGAGGACAAAGACCATTTAAGGGCAAAGAGAAGCCCAACATACAGGAGTGAAGGCTGCGCTCCTACCTGGCATCGGCCTCACTGTAATACTCTCTGGCTACGATGTCTTCAAATAGTTCACCTCCGGTCACCCTGTAAAAGCAGACAACACACAGACACACACACAGACACACACACACACACACACGTTTATTTAGGAAAGCTGGACTGGTTGGAGTGGGAGGAGGAGGTAGTGATGGTGGTGTGTGGTTATAAATGCTTCAAATCAAGGATTCCTACTTCAGTTCTTATTTTCTACAGCTCCCCCCTTCCCCCCAATCCTCCTTCACTTCATCCCCCCTTCCCACACCGTTACCATGGAAACTAGAGGGAATTGCTGAGAGATAGATGTGGATAGCGTGGGTGGTGATAGTGGCAGTGGTGGTGGGGCAAATATAAGAGAGAGTTATGCAATTGTATATGTATATGGAAGAGCTGGGAAAACTGAGAGGCAGGAGCTAAAAGAAAAGGGGGGCAGAAGATGAAAAGGGATGAGGAGGAGCAGAGAGGAGAGGATGACGATGATGACGATGACTTACAAGTCAAACAGGAGGTAGTGGAAGCCCTCCTCTGATATACTGTCATGAAGACGAACTGCGAGAGAAAAAAAGAGAGATTGAGAGAGATAAAGTGATACCTGGGCTCTGTGTAGCTGGAGCATTTAAGCTATGATGGTTATTCAAAGAGTTTCTGAAAAACACTGGGGATGACTGCTGCATTTTAAGTTTTTGGTTGTTTTTTTTAAAAAGGAAAAAGGTGAGATAAAGAGATAGTGAGAGTGCGCATGGGGTAGAAACCACAGGGAGTCGAAATAATTGAGTCTTACGTCATATGTGTTTACAATAGGGTAGAAGCTTCTGGCAATACAGGGCTCGATTTAAACAACAAATGAATAAAAACTATATACTTCTATTGGATCTTTTAATAAAAAATGTTAGGTGTGTGTTTTGGCTTTGGCAAAAAAAATGAAATTGTTCTGTGTCGGGAATAAAAGACTGTTAATCAAATCTAAACTGGTCTTTACTTTTAAATGGATTCAAACTCATTTAAATAAATTATTTTCAGTGGGTTGAAAATAAGAAAAGCATGTCCTCACCGATATTGGGGTGTTTCAACAGACGACAAATACGAGCCTCTCGCTCCAGCTTCTGGTGATCTGAGGTGCAACAAAAGAGAGAAAGGTATGTCAGAGTTATTGCTAAACTTGGGTTATAAATATGTTATCTCTATATTGTAGAAGGCTTTTTAGGACGACAAGGTTAAATGTGTCAAAAACAGATTAGAAAATGGTTTCATGTCACAAAGGACGAAGAGAACGCAGAGGAACCCAGTGGGTGTAAAATATGGAAAAAGTGAAACATAATAAGGCGTGTTGTTCTTCCAAGTTTTAAACTAAGAAGGCTCAAGGTGGATTCCAGTGCTACATACGATAATTTAAAAAAACAAACACATTCTTGATTTACTCCATAGTTTAATGGGTGATGTTCACTAAGGCCCACAAGATTCAGCAAGTTTCAGTATTGGTGACTGACAACATAACTGTTATCTAGTCAGAGCAGCATTTCCTTAAACATAAAAGTGCACTAAAAAAAATAAATAAAAATGAAGACGTAATGAAAAAAAAGGTCAAAAAGATCAAATAAATATCCATCCATACAAAGCATTTTGAGACCTGCATTATTCGTGTCCATGAATTCAAGAGTCTATGTAAAAACAGAGCATGAATATTTAGCAAAAATACAGCAAGTTGTTCAAATTATAAAACACCAAACTGAATTTAAATAATGTTGCTGAATTTTTGTGTGCGTGTTACATTTTTCTCCATAATGCAGAAAATATAAGAAATATATGAAGCAACATAAATTTAATATATTATGTTTAAGTGGCTTTGAACTTTGAGTATTTCAGAAACTCGTGATCTACTGGGATTTTCCCACACAACCAACTCTGGGGTTTACAAAGACTGGTTCCGTAAAGAGAAAATGAGCAGCGGTTCACTAAGAGAAGATACCTTGTTACTCCCAGACTTCAAAGGAGCATAGCCATAATTCTTCCTCCCAAAAGGAAGAGAATAGTAATTCAAATAACCACTTATTACAACCAAGATATACAGAAGAGCATCTCTGAATGCAGGAAAGAGCAGAAGACCACACTGCCTGCCATTCCTGTTTGCAAAGAAAACTACTTTGAGACTAAAATGTGTTGCCTGGTGTGTCTGTGCAACATTTGGTGCAAACAGCATGAAACAGTGGTTCCACAGTGGATGTGTTATATCAATAAAGGAATGATGTGGGAATTATTTTATAAGGATCTTTTCTGGGCTTCAGTACTAGCTGAGCAGCATTTTGACACCAGAGCATACCAACTACTGCTGCTGACCAAGTTTATACTTTTATGACTGCTATCTACACATCTTCTGATGGCTACTTTAAGGATAAAATACAGTGTCACAAAGCTGAAATCATGTCTGGTGGTTTCCTTCACCTGACCTGAATCAATCCAATAGTGCATCTTTGGGTTGTGGTGGAACCAGGGGTGTAATTTCCAGGGGGTTAGAGGGTTATGACCCCCCAATAATCAGACCCAACCAATATAACCCCCCCAATAAAATTATGAATGATCTTGCATAAATAGGCTCTTGATTTTCTTTACTCTTTTCAGGTACTACCAGCAAAATAGTTGCATGTTTAATCATCTGGGAAATTACCCAGATTTATTTATTTATTTAGACAGAGCTCTTGACCCCTCCTATGTTCAGTACAAAGTTACGCCGATGGGTGGAACAGCAGAGTTCAATCGTGGATGCTCAGATGAAAATATCTGCTGGAAATGTGTGATGCTGACATGTCACCACAGACCAAAATCCCTGACTCTAAGCCAGTTCTGAAGACAAAAGAGGATCCAATCCGGTCATAGCAAGGTGCAACTAACGAAGTGATCGGTGGGTGTAATTTACTATGAGTGGAAGTACAAATATATGAGCATATATACTTCAAGGCACACTATGTATGTATGCAGCTAAAATATTTACATCAGCATGTCCCTTTACATAACAGATTACTGATGCTAACCAACATGCATTACTGGGTTATTGTGCAAGACACAGCCGGCATATAAAGCACACACACATACAGACACACATACACACAGGGGGTGGATCACCGGATCCACGAAGCGTGACTGTCAGCACAAACGTACATATGCATAGGTTGCACCCACACGCGTACAATCTGTACGAGTTTAAGAGAACACAGACTGGCAAAACTCAAGTGCACACATTCACACTGGCACTGTGGAGTGACAGTGAAGTGTAAGCGTGGTGATTATAGTCTCAGAAGATGAGAGGAGTGAGGCGGAGAAAGGAGTGGAGGAGTGTTGAAGGGGGACAGGAGAGGAGGAGTAAAAAGGAAGGAGAGAAAAAATACAAGGACGTTTAATATGCACAAAGCCTGGTTGCTGTCTTTCTGGTGAAACAATAAGACACCGCTAATCACTGCCTGCTACTTCTTTTTTCTTTTTAACTCTAGTCATTTATTCTTCACATTTGGTTTTTGTTTGAGGCTATGAACTCACTGAATATTTTTTCCCCATTTATTTGTTTGTCCATGTGTAACAAACTGCATTTTAATGGGACTGAATTTCATCTTTTCAAAACATAGATTCACATCTGACCTACTCAGAAACACACCGATTACAATGTTTGTGATTTACTGGGAGAGACCTATTGCAAATTAGCACTTTAAATAAGGCTATCATTCCTGCACGATCACATTACTGCGTGATCGTGCAAGCTTTCACTCCAGTTGAACTGTATCTGACTGACTCTTAAAAACTACCAACTCTCAGCTTGTGTTTAGCACTCCCAGATGTTATCTGTCATACTAATGTCAAGTGTTGGAAAACTTGTCATGGGCACTCGCATCGCATTTCATTCTATCAGTGGCATCTGCTAATATTACTCTGCAAGTACAGAATTGGCTCACAGTAGCTGCTGTGGTGCATCATCTATCGTCTACCATCTGTGCCTTTGTTATCAATCCATCATCTACGTGGGACAGTTTTATTATTAATATTGTGATATCAAGTATTGAAAGATCTATTGAAATATAACACATATGTCATTACTGGGCTATTTTTTCTTGCCTTGCTTCTGCTTAAAACTCATTTGGCATTGTGAGGTGAGGTAATTAAAAAAAACTCATCATAGGATTTACAGATGGAGGATAACTGAGGATGAGATACACGACCTCCCCTGAAATGAACATGGTCTTTTATCAGGTCTTCTATCAGAGCTTTATCAGACCGGGAGATAACACTACAGCAAAAAATTGTGTATGACGGATGACCTTCCCATGGCAGAACACTCATAACAGATGCTCTTTTCAACTGCCCTGCATAAAAGAGGACACAACTGATAACTGTCTATACAGTCTGCAGTGTGTGTGTGTGTGTGTGTGTGTGTGTGTGTGCACGCGTGTATGTGTGTGTACCAAGGAAGAAGTCAGCTATCAGGTTCAACTGTACGACAGTATTTTTAGTACTGCATATGAGGGGTCAGCGTAGTTTAACAAGAACTATGGAGATTAATGTAATTTTATTTATGTATTGCATGTAGTGTATCAGAATAAAACTGATATGTAACTGACAGTTCAAAACCCGGTTTATAAAAGGTACCTTCTCTCATGTATAAACGGTGGGAGATTTGCCAGAGCTACTGCAACACTAAACATTTACTTAAATAGATTTACTGTAAGGCCAAGAGCTCCATTTGTTTTCATAGTTGTGTTTACGTATTTAGCTAGGTAGAAAGTATTCTAAGTAGGGACAGCTGATGTAGTGGCAGATCATGTTATAAGATTATCATGTGCATTTTTGTTATCTAGTTACAAGTTTAATATATTTTCACTCCTAATTTGATCTTTTTCTCAACTTCTCATTAATGCAAATGAGCCAATCAAATGGCCGAAACTCAGCGCACTCAGACAAGCTTGGTGAAGAAGACCAAACCGAGCATTACAATGGGTAAGAGAGGTGATTTAAGTGACTTTTAACATGTCATTGTTCAAATGGTGCCAGACAGACTGGTCTCATTTCAGAATCTGATGATCTTCTGGGATTTTTCCCGCAATACCACCTGTAGGGTTTCTCTGAATGCACAACAAGTTACAACAGAAGCATAAAGCCTACAGCAGCAGAAATCCACATTAGACACCACTCCTGTCAGCTAAGAATAGGACACTGATGCTACAGTTCGATTGGATGGCCAAAACTAAACAATAAAATATTGGAAAAACGTTGCCTCGCCTTCAGACTAGTCCTGCTCTGTCATTTAGATAATAGGATCATAATCTGGCATAAATAAGATAAAAGAACAGAACAATGCTGCCTTTTATTAACAGGGTTTAGGCTGTTGGTGATGTAAATACATGTGGCGACTTTTCAAAGAAAGTTAACCAAAAGGAACGGACGAAAGATTTGTTTCTTTATCTGAAACGAGTTGTCTCAACCAATTATAAGATAAATGAAGATTACTGTGAAATCTGAGTTGTGCATAGCTACTCTAGCAGTGACAGAATAAAAACAAAGAGCAGGACATGAGCATAACGGCACTCATTTAAAACACCAAGAATTTTTATTCCACAGAGAAAAGGAAAAAAAAGGCCTTTTTGGCCCTCCACCTAATGTAAAATGCACTGATTTCTGTTAAGTAAGGCGCTCCAACCCCCACCCTTTCACTCCCAGAGGCCCATTTCTAGTCAGAAAACACTAAACACGTATCTCACGTGTCCAACATTACACTTGTTTCTGGACTTTAATTAATTATTGCAGTTTACAGTTATATCCTGAAAACATAAAAGGTGGCCCAAAATGCATTCGCTCTGGGGTTAAAAAAAAAGTACTCTTTTGTAAAAACATGACACACAAAGAAGATCAAATGAGAACTTCCTTGTGTGGTTCTCACTGTAATTACCTTACTGTCAGCAACTGCGGCCATGCGGCTCTTTTAGTGCAGGCTGCTTAAAATATTCATTTAATGAGTCTTTTAAAGTGCCGGTCAGTCAGAAGCAGCAGGGTAAATAAGAAATGAGACCAGGGAGTGGGGTAAGGAAGAAAGGCAAGGACAAGAACACATGCACAGAGTGAGATATCCCAAGGACAACATTCAGTGAAATCAGTGGGAATCTTCATGCTGAAGGAGAAGAGAGCAGAGCAGAGGAATATATTTGGGTTAATCATCACCAGTGAGGACTTAAGTCTCTAGAGAGGGAGGAGATGTAAAAAGACAGCCACAAAGACAGCCAGATATAACCACTGTTCGGAACACTTGACTCGTAACAGCGTGAGCCCTACCAGCAGGGAAATGTGGAGTGCGGATTGAAAAGTTTCCTATATCCTATAGATCCTACAGA